CTCAAGTGGTAGAGTGCCTGCCTAGTAAGCTTGAGGCCTTGAGTTCAAGCCCTAGTACTGCAGAGAAAAAAAACAAAGAAAATAATAATAAGAGAATGAATAGTTTGTAAATCAGAATATCATGCCAATGGAAGGCAGGAAGAAAAAACAAACAAAAAAACCAAAGGAGAATACATAAATAAAGAATATGAGGAAAGGTGGTGAAAGAGGTCCTACTATAAGAGTAAGCACAAATTAATTAATGTGTAGTTGCAATCCTAGCCAATTAAATGTCAGATCAGAGCAAAAAAAGAAAACAAAGAGCTACACTTTTAAAAAGAGAGAGGCAAAGAAAAATTAAAAATATAGGAAGAAAAAATATCTAGTAAATGTGAAACAGAATAAAACTGATACTAGCAATCTTTACAGTTAAGAAAAACAGAAATATAAAGAACCCAGACAAATCTGAAATAATGAACTGTAATAAGTCATAGAGAAAATAGATAAAAAAAATTTCATGAACATTTATGTGCCTGAGAAACATCACCAACACCTAACAAAGCATACAATTTACAAAAGTGAAGGTAGAGGCTGTAGTTTGTCTCCTCTGAAACTCAGGTTGAAGTTTAATTCTCATTGTGAAGTATTAAGAAGTGGAAGCAAGCTGACAGTGGTGTTTAGAGATGGGGTCTTTGGAGATGATTAAGATTAGATAAGGTTGTGCGGGTGGAGCTCTTGACGTGTGAAAGTTTGAATGTGTGATTGTACTCTGGTTTCATTTCATTTTAAATTACTGGGAAAATTTTGGCGTGGTATAGTAATGAATGTGATTTATTAAAACTGTAAATTAATAAAAAAGCTCTTTTTGCAAATTTTGAGTATATTATGCCTACTTTACTTATTCAGTTATATTTTCATGATGTGAATTGCATACTTATTTCCTATTTAAGCAGTCTTTCTAGGAGCTGCTTTCAACAAAGTCAAAGAAATGGCTACTTTTAAAAACTGAGATTCCTCAAAAGAGTTTTAAGAAGATAGATTTATTAAATATCTGAATGTGAAATGGGAGAAGTAAAAATATTTGTATAGATACTTTCTCATTTATCTAGCATTCTAATGATTAGAGCTATCAACTGTATCCAGCAAATTATAAATCCTAACTCAATCATACAATACTGCTCCCTTAGCATAAGTGAGACATGGACATTGCTGAATCTCTAATATTAGGTATAGGAAAAATAAGCAATTCAATTTTGTGAAAGTCAGGTAGGCACTACTGAATGAGCAGCTGCAGAACTGCAGTTGGAAATACTGATTCCTAGCAAATCTTTCTCTATGCCCATTCATTAAAATTTTGAAAATTTTTGTCCAGGTGCCCATTGGTTTGAACAGAAGCCTTTGTCTATAACATACAACTAAAATAGTTGAGTGTACATCTAAAGCTAGGCAGAACAAAGCTGGACAATGAAGGTTATTTGCCATAATGCAACTAAGGAATAAACTGACTTCGTAAGATAAATGAAGAATTGATTTAATGATTGTCAGGCAGTAAATGCATATTATCTCATCAATTCTTCTCAGTGGTCCTGAGAAGCAAACTACATTTTTTCACCGTTTTGGAAATAACCAGCAGTTGAGATGACAAAGCCTGCTTGAGGTCAGAGGCAAAGAGTGATTCTAATCCAAATCTGCCTGTCATCGAAACCACATGATCCTCCCCATATATGCTACTAGAAGAGAATCACTACTGTTCCTATGTAGCTCATCAGGTCAACCACATCTCATCTCCCTGTACAGTAAGGTAATGCTGTTACTATCCCGTTGCTGAGTACCTATGGTCCTGGTTAAGTGGTGACTTGGTGACAATGTCATTGAGCAAGGCTGCACATCACCCTCTATATCCAGATGTCTTCACCCTCTTCCAGCAGAAAAATATCACGTTTGCCGGGATATCTCTGGAGGTTATGTAATGGTGAAGACCTCACTAGCTTGGCGTCATTTGAACATCGCCATGGCCCACTGATGCAGAATGGTCCATTCCTGATGCTACCCTAGAAGGCCAACATGTTCCCATGGTCAGCATGAGCTCTGCTGCCAGGCAGAAGGGGCTCTGTTTGGCTATGGAAGCCACTGAATTGGCGTCCACTCATTTGGAAAGGAAAAGGTAGATGGAATCACCATTCCTAAATTTCTAGTCTAGATCTATGACTTGAGCTTCGTTGAAGCACTGCAAGTCATTAAGAAGTTACGAGGGAATCACAAATTATGAACTTTTAAAATTCAGAGATAACTTTGGATTGGGAAGTTATTTTTGAAGTGTTATGCCATTGAAACTGTTGGCATTTGGCATTAAATAACTTCACAGTTATATGTGTAGCTACTATGAGAGTAACAAACTGTCAGATTAAGTTTCCAAGATGATAAATTGTGGTTACTTTTGGCTCAGTCAAAATGTCATGTTAACGCCAGATCTTATTCATTCACAGGATTTCATGATACTTGATGCGGCCGACAGCCCCTTCTTTCTTCCAACACTCTCTTCTCTGTCCTCTGTGGTGTGAGTTCCTAGTTGTCCTAGATCTTCACCACCAACTCCATCTTCTTTTTGAGCTTTCCTCTGCTTCTTGTTTTTCCTCTTTCTCTGACAGGGACTTTGTGGCGCTCTCTCAGTGAGTGAGTTTATATACTCCCAGTATGTCAATCACCACAGATTACAACCCAAGCCTGAATCTATGGTTGAGCTCCAGACTCATCGATTTGTTCTCCATGGATGAATGTCCCTCAGGTGTCCCACACTCAGTGAATACCCCACTGAGCTCATTTCCTTCTTCCCACACATGCTTCTCTTCCAGGTGTTCCCTCACTTGAGGAATGGCATCAACACCAGCAGTGTGTCCTGTAAAGAGCTGATTTATAATTAGGGGTGTGTGTATGTGTGCATGTGTGCAAAAACCTAAATGACTCAGGTGTTAAACATGTCACATTTCCAATAAAAGTGGAAGTGGGAGGGGACTTGTGCAAAACTGAAAATGGCAGGCCACTCAAAAGGATGCAACAAAAGCTACTTCAGCTGACTAAAGCCCCCTTTGTTAAATCTGTCAAATTGGAGGTTTTTATGAAAAACACTAGAAAGCTGGACTTCAACATGAAAGCACTATAGTTTTAATGCTGATAACTCGTCATGTTTAAAACAAAACAACATGGGCTAACAATATGCTTAGTGGGCTATTATTTTGCAATCTTTGTCCTAGATTGATAGTATTTACTTTCATTTGAGAACTAAAATAAAAAATACTAAATTTTCAGTGTTTGGAAGTTCAATTCATCTAGCAATTATCATTTGTGTAAAATGTTGAAAATCATGTTTCTTCATTCCTACAATAATATGTATATTATAATTATACTAACAAAGCTGATAGCAGAGAATTTAAGACAACCAAAAGTATTTTCCTCACAAGTAGTTATTTAGATAACACATTCCCTTTAGCAGAAAAATGGCCCAGGCTATAGACTGCTTATAACACTCTGTTATTTCCTGTGATATTCAGTGACATGAAACTTGGGGTTGTGTGTGCCTGAATATATAAATGGTATATTGTGCAAATGGAAGGCATCTGTTGGACGTGGTAGTCTTGAATCTGTTGACACTTGAGCCCCTTCTCCCCAAAATTACACTTTGGCTTGTGTGTCAAACCACCACACTCGATTCTATTACATGAAATAGAGGACGTGCATTTTTCATATAATTTATGTTTATAATCTCAAAAAACCAATCAATAAGAATGGTGAACCTCTTATAAAGTAGTTATCTCAGAATCCAATTTATTTGCATAATTTAGTTTGTTTACACAGACTTGAGATAATTCACATAGAAAAATCTCTTCTAATGAACTGTCAAATTTGGAACTTTCACAATTTTGAATAAAGCTCTACCTAAAGTAAAGCAAATATTATGGTTTGAAAATGAAAAGTTCCACACAGGCTCATGTGTTCAAGGCTTCGTCGCTAGCTGGAGGTGCTGTTGAGAAGTGATTGGATCATGATGATGCTAACTTCATCAATGGATTAACCCATTGATGAGCTCATAGCTGATGGGCTATTAGGAGGCGGGGCCTAGTTGGAGGAAGTGGATCACTGGGGCCTGGCTTTGAAGGACATATATTGTTTCTAGGCCCTTTCTGTTTCTCTCCAACACCATGACTTTTGAACAAAGCCACCATATCTTTTGAACAAAGAAATAAGAATGTTGAAGGAGCTGACGAAAAGATTGTATTGGAAACAAAAGTGAAATTACCTGCATATCTATGTGCATACATTGGTTGGGAAATAGTGCTACTTTGGTCTTATAAACACATGGACTTAAAACTAGGCTTTTGATATTCACTTATTCACAAGTAGAAGAGCTTCTGCAATTGCCAGTTGGGATGATGACATTTGTGTTTAACCATGCCTCACTCTTCTAGCTCATGATTTTCTTTCCATTGAATAGAGTTGTTAAGAGAGGCTGTACTGTGTAGTCCACAGAAGAAGACAATGCACTGGTGGTCTCCAGTGTGTTACACTCTGGTGTGTAACTCAGTTGAGTGTGCATTTTAATCACATCATAGAAGTTTTTGTTTTATTTTGGTTTTCACTTTCTATTTTTTGCAGTATTGGGGTTTAAACTCAAGGCCTCACACTTGTTAGGCAAGTGCTCTACCACTTGAACTACATCCCCAACTCTTTTTACTTTTGTTTGTTTTTCAGATAGAGCTTTACTCTTTTGCCTGGGCCACCTTGAACCACAATCCTTTTATCTCTGCCTCCCAATAGCTGGGATTACAGGTATTTGTCATCATTTGTAGTTCTATATTGTAGCGTTTTAAGAAAAATATTAAACTATATGTTAAAATGAATTATGAATAATATCCTTGTTGAATGCCCAAATCACACACACAAGGCTATTATTTATGTAGCACACTGTTAGTCAGCCTAGTTAAATGAGTGACTCTGAGAGGGGCTGAAGATGATAATCTACTCACCAATGAGGTACATGCCAATCCAGTCTCCAGCGTCCACTTCTTCCTTAATGTCCCAGTGGATCACCAGATCCTGTGAGTGCCCTATGGAGTAGTAGGAACTGCTGACCATGAGCGTGGAGCGGCTGTCTGAGGTGACCAGGTCGGTGTCACTGGTGGAGCGAGGAATGGTGACACCTTCATGGGGACCATTTCTGATGTCCATGTTGTGGAACTGGTCAGGGTTGTAGCTGTAGCGGAGCGGCTCCTTGCACCGCCGTCGGCTCTGGGAGTTTCGAGATGGAGATGCCATGGCAGCCAGGCCTAGAAACCTGTTCTGGTACAGATTCTGCAAAGTCAAAGAGATAGTGTACAGGGTCAGGACATGCCAGCAACTAGGTCACTGTATTCACAAAAAATGAAAGATGTATTAGGCAAAATAAGCTGAGAAATTTGAAACACAACATACAGCATTTTCCTTGAGACAAAGTCTATAGCATTGAGTTCACACAGGGACAACAAGAACAAAGATATGAACTCATCAGGGAACCTATATTCGCCTGCTCTGCTGGAGTCTACCTCACTCAGATCCCTTTAACCTACTTGAAACTAGAAAGACTGGAACGTGGGTAGAGTGACCTGGAAGATGTAACTATCCCCAAAAGATATGCCATTTCTTGAGTTTCCCAATCTCAATTCAGTTGGATCCAATTTTATCCTTTTATAGGCTAAACGATGCTGATGGTCACCTAATGTTTCAGCGATCCAGGCAGCTTTCAAGTCCCTGAACATAGCCCCAAATTAGTGGTGGTCCATGAGGGGTGAGGGGGTCATTTCTCCTTCATTTACTGTCCTTTCACTAAACAGAATGTCTCCAGGCACTATGAAATTTCTATTAAGAATTTCAGACATCCTGGAAATCTTCTTTGAACACCAGGGTTTTCAATGAAATCCAGTCTTAAAAAACTGTCTCCCTCAGAGCAAATGTTATTATAGAAAATATTGCAGTTGATGAAAAAAATGCATGATTTTTTTTTCTTTTTTTAATGTTTACAACTTTGAGCTCTGAAAAGTGAACTGAGCTGATGCAGTGCAATAACTTGTTTTGGGTACAGATTTAATTTAGAATGCATGGAATTATTCAAGGAATTTGTTTTTGAAATAAGCAAGATTTTTTAACTTCAACAAGGAATACTAAAATTGGGGTATAAATGTTTAGTTTTGGGATTCCTGTCTATAAATGTACATGCTGTTCTGAAACTAATAATATTTTTTTGTTTCCAAGAAGAGAAAAATGAAGGCCTAAAAAGTGCTAAATCATGCTGTTTAGATTCCCAGGACTGTAATTTATTATACACATCAATCAAATGGAAATTATTGACTTCTTGTTTACTAACCATGAGGACCAGACCCCAGAACCAGCCTATGCTTTAAATTGTATAAACCTATTTAGCAGTAATTTAGGCCTATACCTTTTCTATCTTCAAAGACCAGGGCAAGGCACTTGTAAAAAGTCCATTAGCCAAATAAAGCACAGTGTTGGCATACTGAGTCTTGGATTTTAATGACCAGGAGGACTTTTTCATTTATTATTTGTGTCTCTCATTAGGAATTCCTCTGGCCCTACTGCTGACAACCATAGAATTACTACAGATAGAAAAGCCAGACTCCAGAAGGCATCTTACCAAGCTATTGGGGCCATATTCCCTATTTTTTTTTTTTAATGCGCTCAACTACAACCAATTCTGCTGTCAAGAAGACAAACAGAGCATTTAAGCCCAGGAAGCATGAACAACCATCCACTCACTTAATGGCATCCAGGTTATTCTGAGCACAGTCGTCTCAGGAAATTGACAGTTCTCCAGGGGCTCTGTCTAGAGACCTTGTATAATTTTCTAAATAGAAAGAGTGCTGTTGCAGCAGAAAATGTCTCTAGTTTGCACACACTTTAAATGAAGTAATAGCATCTCACAGTATTATACTCAAGTTGATAATTATGAGTTATATCAAAATGTGATTGAAACTGATACAGCACCCATCAGCTACCCAGCTGTGAATCCCTAGACAACTTAATCTTTCTAGACTTCAGCTTCTTCATGTGTAAATAGATTATTGTCAGAACTTAATGAGTTAAGGCAAACCAATTCCTTGGTACAGTAAGACCTCAATAAATAAAAATGTAGCATTAAAACACCACTATTACTAATTTGGGAAGGAAGCCCAACTGAAATTCAGGCTGTGGGGAATTAGCCAGACCAATGTTCTTTCACATCATCCCAGAGCCCTTATAAGCTTAAATTCATTCTGCACAGCCCTTATAAGCTGCTCCTGCTCGTGGACCTCCAGGTTTCCATATGGAATTGGAACTTCAGTGGCGTACCTGTAAAGGTGTTCCACATGCAGACTCTCAAGGAAAGGGCTCCCTTTGTAAAGTTTGTGATTGGGTGAACATTTTGCATTGGTACTGAGGAGGCTGAGAGAAAGATTTTTACCATGTGGTTTCAATCAAGACCTCCAAACGATTGGAGAGCATTTCTCTTTTATTGAGGACATTAATTCTGCCATTGCATTTTTATCAGAATTCTCTGAAAACCAGGAAATTCTCTTGAAACTGTCAAATTACACCAGTGATCACTGTATACATGTCAAAAACAAAGATATAGATGAAAACATTAGTGAAGGAGATGCTAGATTGGAACAATGACATTTGCTTGTAATAAGAAAGGCAGCAGCTTATTCTCTGTCTTAGAAGACCAGGCTCTCCTTACCCATCCTAGCTTTACACTCATCTAATGTGAACTATGTGGAATATATTGTGTTACTTCAGTTTTATAAACACATGGATGTAAAACTGGCTTTTGATATCCACTTACTCATACTTATAGGCAGGATTTGCAATTCTGTTTCAAGATTACACCTCAACTTTGTTATAACCTCTCCCTGCATCCATTCCTATTACCAAGAAAGTAGGCTTTCTGATCCATGATCCATGGGACTCCCACACCCTTGGCAAAGATTCTTATAGGAAGTCAAATAGGAAGGGTGCCCATGTAAAACCATATTCCATCATGGCCTAAACAGGTGTTTTGTTAAAGACTCAAAACAATTATTTCTCTTTATTTTTACTATCTCAGCTTTATTATAGTAGAGTCAAAAAATAAAATTCTATTATTTTAAGATGTGTAGTGTGATGATTTGACTTTACGAAATGATCACCACATCCAAGTTAGGGAATACATCTTTTACCTTGCATAGCTACCCATTATAAATTTTGTTTTGTTTTATGGTGAGTACATTTAAGCAAGTGTCACTGATTGCTTCATGAATGCAGCCCATGAAAAGCACTAATGGCTCAACATACAATTTCTTTGTGGCCATGCATTCACAAATATTTCCAACATACGCTATAGACTCATTGGGCTGGATGAAGCAGCAATTAGATAAGAAGAAATTCCTTCACATGTAAACCTTTGGAGATAGCTGAAGATCTGTCCTGTTTTTAAGAAGCCCTGGACAAAGACCATTCTCTTCTTAACAGTGATTCCAATGTTTCATGACCCTGTAACTCTTCCTAATCTTTATGGCAAATCAAGTGTATGACCTCCTTTCTCTTTCCTTTCTGAGAGAGGAGGGGTGGCTCTTCCCATTCTTTGTATGTAGAGGATCAACCATATCACTGAGTTGCTCCTAGCCTTTTCTCCATTCAACCAAATAGCTCAAGTGCCTTTTCCTGTCTCTAAACATTTGGCGATAGGCAATATGACACTGCTAAGAGAATTGTAAAAATATCTGCTGCTATTCAAAACATTGTTCATTTCAAAACATTGTATTTCCAAATCACTGGTTGTAAGCAAGGGTCCCCAGTTTGTATCTATGTAAGCACAGATTTTAATTGAGCATTGAGAAAGTGGACTCAATGAAAATAACCTAAACACACTGTGCAGAACCCCACTTCATAAGAAGTAAAATTCCATCTGCTGAATTTGTTTCTTAAATGTGGCAGAGGATCCAACAAAGCTTTGTTTACTTGTTTTGCTTTCCAACTTAAATAACATCACAATAGTTGAAATATTTTGGCATGTTCTTGATTTGTTGTTTTTTAAATTATGGCATAGGCCTTATATATTTAATGTGATTTATGATATTCTTACACAGAACAGCACACTAGTAAAAACAAAACATTCTGTAAGGAGATAGGATCTTAACAGTAGAAGAGCACCTCTCTTGTAAGAATGCAGGGGAATGTGACACAGGTTACTCCAGAGGCACCTGCACACCCATGTTTATTGCGGCACTATTCACAATAGCCAAGTTATGGAAACAGCCAAGATGCCCCACCACTGACGAATGGATTAAGGAAATGTGGTATCTATACACAATGGAATTTTATGCAGCCATGAAGAAGAACGAAATGTTATCATTTGCTGGTAAATGGATGGAATTGGAGAACATCATTCTGAGTGAGGTTAGCCTGGCCCAAAAGACCAAAAATCGTATGTTCTCCCTCATATGTGGACATTAGATCAAGGGCAAACACAACAATGGGATTGGACTTTGAGCACATGATAAAAGCGAGAGCACACAAGGGAGGGGTGAGGATAGGTAAGACACCTAAAAAACTAGCTAGCATTTGTTGCCCTTAATGCAGAGAAACTAAAGCAGATACCTTAAAAGCAACTGAGGCTAGTAGGAAAAGGGGACCAGGAACTAGAGAAAAGGTTAGATCAAAAAGAATTAACCTGGAAGGTAACACACATGCACAGGAAATCAATGAGAGTCAACTCCCTGTATAGCTATCCTTATCTCAACCAGCAAAAACCCTTGTTCCTTCCTATTATTGCTTATACTCTCTCTATAACAAAATTAGAAATAAGGGCAAAATAGTTTCTGTTAGGCATTGAGGGGTGGGGGGGAGAGGGAGGGGGTGGAGTGGGTGGTAAGGGAGGGGGTGGGGGCAGGGGGGAGAAATGACCCAAGCCTTGTATGCACATATGAATAATAAAAGAAAAAAAAAAGAATGCAGGGGGACAAAAGGTTCCACTTTGTTAGTTCCTATCTGACAGTCATTAACTACTTTCCTATTTTGGAATGTTAGGCTGGGAGTGAATACCATCTCAAAGAGAAAGAGAAAGAAGATCAACACACATCTAAAATACAGAAGATAATTCTTAAAAATTGCTTCTTCACTAAGAAATTAAAAAAAATCATCAGAGAAAACACAGGTGCTGAAGGAAACTTCATTACAGTATATAAATGTGGTTGTAGAAACTGGTAATATTTAGTTGTAAGAAAAAGCAGAATAATTGTGAGTCTAAGAACACATTTTATTTCACTCAAGTAGATGCCTGG